CAGCCAGAATTCCATGGCCCCAGTGTTCAACCCCTAGACCCAGGAGTGGAGCCCCCTGTTTGTCCCAGGCCTTCTCTTGGTACAGGGCTTAGCAGAAGATGCAGAGACTTCCCAAATCTTCCAATGCCCAAGAGCTTCACAATGTACCCCAACTTATTTTTTTCTTTATTTTTCTTTTGGGGGGAAAGACCTTGGGGGACCAGCATCAATAAGAAAATAACTGTAGTTGTCACTAACTGAGTTGTTGGTTTTCATTGAAACGTAAGGAACTATATTAGCTTGTACCACAATCTAGTCCAAAATTGTGACCTACAAGCAGTCTTGTCATATAAATGAACAGGTATTTCAGAAGGAAGCTCTGTGTCCTCACTTTTCTCCAGTCCTAGACTCTATGGTGATGTAGATTACTTCCAGAAGATTCTATTCAATACAAGGCTGCTTATCGACTTCTCGACAAAAACTCTTAAGCCACCTGTCGGTTCCACCCTCTGGCTAGGAAACAACAGCAACAGCAAGCCATTCGTCCTCAGTAACCCAGCCACACAGAAGTAAAGAACTGCTACAGATGTTTTGGCTTGTCCCTGTGATTTTTTACAATCACACAAAGCTATTATACATGTGGCAAGAGTGAGCCTCTGATGCCCCCCCCCCCCAGTGAAGAGAGTCAGACTCAGAAGGCTAGAAACTGGTTCCATTTATATGGTATTATATTTGGAGTAAAGCCAGGAGACAGCTGGTACCTGGTACACACTTGTAACCTCAGCACCCAGGAGGCAGAAGCAGAACCTCTGGCTACTTCTCGGGTTCAGCCACTAAACGAATATAATCCCAATTATTTTATAATGACGGTTAATGGCAGCAATGAACTTGGGCATGACTTCTGTTGACCCATCCTCTTACCATGGTGGACAGATTTGGTCATATCAAAGGGTTTGGAAAACTATTTCTTCCAAAACAATGATGCCCTGGATCCATCCCTTCCTCCCACAAAGAAGAATCCCAGGGCCTCATAAAGTCCCCACACCTATGGTCTAGAGAACAGGAACAGGGACGGGAGGGATTGTGAAGGGAGTTCCAATCCTTCCTGGGAGGGGAAGCCAAGAGGGATGGAGGGACGGTACCTACAGATCTTCAGCTGACAATATAGGGGACTTTATCTTCTAGGGTTATCTGTCAGAAGGGTTGGTGACAAAATGGTACCGCTCTCCTCGACTGCTCCTGTCCCCCAACAACTACACAAAAGCCATCGATATGTGGGCAGCCGGCTGCATCCTAGCTGAGATGCTCACGGGGAAAATGCTCTTTGCTGGTAAGTTGCTAACCAAGGCCTCATGCTTCCTCCTCAGTGTTGTTCAGACTGTGTACAAAACGCTCACCAAGCCCCAAACATGCTAACCTTTGGCTGAAATGACTTCTTTGCTTTTTGTGATACTTCCTGTAGACTATAATTTCATACAAAAATTATAAAAGCTCAAATTAGTCTTGTGAGCACAGGACTTTTCCAGTTGACTGACCATTTTTCTATGGTCTGAGGTCACCACCTCAGTGTAGTACATGAAGAAATGGGGCTAAGGGGAAATGGTCTGTGGGGTTTGTCCTCTTATGAGAGTTCTCTCACCCCTTACACCATGTGAGGATATAGCAGAAATGCACCATTTATGAGAAGCAAGCCCTTAACTCGTCACTGAATCTGCCAATACCTTGACTTGGGATATCTCAGCCTCCAGGACTTCAAGAAATAAATGTTTATAAGCCATTCCATCTAGGTGTTTTGTTGTAGCAGCTCAAACATACTTATACTCCAGTGAACTAAAACATACTTATACTCCAGCACCTTCAAACTAAGTGCTAAAAACAACCGCTCAGCATTTTCAGGCTCTTCCTCCTTGCTCTCTGATATTCTGTCTTCCATCCTGTAGCTCCACCAAGTAACACATTGCTTCCCTCATCTATCAAGACTTTCTTCACCTTGACACATAATAAAGAAATCCTTCTCTGCTTGGAAAACGCCCACTCAAGCCTTACTTATGTTCTGTCCTCCATGATGACTTTGCTAATGCCCCAGGCAGTCATCCATCCCTCCTGGTGCTCCCACAGCACAGCACTCCATCCTCATCTCTGTTCCCAATCCTTGCCTGGAGGAACATTTGCTGTCTCCACTTACTCCTCACCCCTGTAAACTCAGCTTAATCATTTTGCATTGTTGTGACAACCTAAAAGGAAGGAAGGCTTAACTTTGATTCAGTTTCAGAGGTGTCAGTTACTGTTCAGATAGTTGTAATCATTCAGACCAGTGGGGGGGGGGAGAGACAGAGACAGAGAGACAGAGAGAGAGACAGAGACAGAGAGACAGAGAGAGAGACAGAGAGAGACAGAGACAGAGACACACAGAGAGAGACAGACAGAGAGACAGAGAGACAGAGAGATCCAGAAATAAAATATACCCTTGAAATGCATACCCACAGTAAGCTACTTCCTCATAGCACCCACTTCCTGCTCCAGCTCTTCAGAGCATGAAGCTGCCAATGGCCTCTGATTAGTGACCATGGAAGCTCTGTGTACCCCACCCACAGGCCTGACTCTTCTTAATCCAGCAGAACCCATTTTATCCTCATCCTGTCATGCTGGTTAGTAGCAACTGTCCCCCATTCCTCGAGACTCTCTCCTGAGTTGACAGCTTCTACCTCCCTCTCTGGACCAGGTCTCCAGACCTGCTTCTCAGTCTACTGTTTCCTCTGTCTTGGATCCCTCCAACCTCCCCTAGTTCCCACCTGTTGGCACAAAATGATCCTCTTGCTGGCTCTCGGGATTCTAAACCAGCCCTGGTCCCTCGAGCTACAGTGTTGGAGAACCAGGCAATGCATAGCTGACCTCCATATGCTCAGTGACAGTGACAGCCAGAGCTTCGTTACAAGGGAGGTAGGAAAACCAGCAGCTAGTAAGGTTGTCTCTGACCCTAAGGACACATCAGAAGAGAAGGAAGAGAGGTCACACCAACAGCACCCTGCTGCCAGTTTTCAATGGCTCCTTAGTAAACTCAGTATGCTAATTTACTTCACCCAAGTGACATCTCTCACCAAAGATCACCAGGGATGATTAGGGCATCAATCTTCCATATGGATTTATGCCATTGGATTCTCTGAGAAATTCACACTCTGTAGGCAGCAGGTAGAGACACACTGAGTCTGGTGTGGGCTTTTGAACCCTCAAAGCCCATCCTCAGTGAAACCCCTCCAACAAGGGCACACCTCCTAATCATTTCCAAAACAGTTCCACTCCCTGGTGACTAAATATTCAAACTTGAGGACAGACTATGGGGGCCATTCTCATTCAAACCATCACTATACTTAATCTGTAAGTATTGAATGAGTGAATGGATGAATGAATGAATGAATGAATGAATGAATGCTTGACTCTATCTTACCCCACCACTTCTCCTTCAGACCTGGCAGAAGCCACCTTCCTCACTGTGCCCACATAGGGAATGTGCTCAAAGCATCTTCCAAACCCAACCAGTTATTCCCTATTTTCTTGCTCCTGAGAATTTTCTGAGTGAGATCCTCCTGTGAAGCTCAAGGCCCATCCTAGCCTTGTAATTGTTCCTTCCTTCCCCAACCTAGCAGAATGTATGAAAAGCAGTAGCCTGGCTGTCCCCATCTTCTTAGCATCAGCTGACTCAGTCCACATGAGATGCCACATGCTAGCAGAATAGATGGCCTCAGACAGAACTAGATACAAGCCTGTATGTTACTTCCCCTTCCCCAATTACTGACTGTGACAGGACGCTTGATAGAAACACCTCAAGGAAGCAGAAGTTTGTATTGGCTTATAGTGTCAGGACAGGGCAGGCTTGGTGGCTGACGTGGCCTGGTCCCTGGCAGAGGGAGCTATATTGCACAGTTGTTTCACATCCCAGGGGTGGACAGAAAGCAAAGAACTTGGGTCAGAAGCAGGGCTCTTAACCACAAGCGCTTCCCCCACTGGCCTGTGTCAGCCAAATAATCCCTGTGTCACAAAAGCCTACAATCTCCCAAAATAGCACTGCGCACTGGGGTCCAAGTGCTCAAATGTGTGAGTCCTTGAGGGCCATTTCATGTTCAACCATAAGAAATCCCTGCTTTGCACATTTAATAAAGCCAACCCCCAAAGACAGCAAGCACTCTGCTCTGCAATGGCCACACTTAGAGCCCAAGTCCCTCAGCTCTGAGCCTAGTGCTGCCTGCTGCCCCATGGTGTTCCCTGTCTAGCCAGCTGGAGCTTCTCTGGAGCATCCACATATGCAGACGTCCAGGAAAACAACTTATCCGTGTGGCATTTGCCTCCCCAGGGGCTCATGAGCTGGAGCAGATGCAGCTCATCCTAGAGACCATCCCTGTGGTCCGGGAGGAAGACAAGGAGGAGCTGCTCAAGGTGATGCCGACCTTCATAAACAGCACCTGGGAGGTGAAGAGGCCACTGCGAAAGCTGCTCCCTGATGTCAACAGTGAAGGTACCCAAGCCTGTACCGGGGCGAACATCCCGAGAGGCTGAGCTCTGGTTTCACCTTTTTGCGGGCAGGGACAAAGGCATGTGGGCCTCCATCCAAAGAGCAGAACATGGGATTCAGACATCAAACATCCCTAGCAACTGGTGTTTTTCCTAGCTACATGCTCAAAAAGTTTCATATTTTAGAACAGGTGGGTGTTTAGATTTTGGATTAAGAGTTCAAAACCAGTAAGGGATATATAAATATCAAAAAATAAAAAAAACCACAGAATACCTGAAATTCAAATGACGATTCAGAGATTCAGGTGGCAAACACTTTGGATAAAGGACAGTCAACCTGTGCTTTCAGACTACAGATTCCTGGCCACATGGCAGTCCCTGAGGCAGTCACTAGTGGGCTTCATGCTCTACTCCCCTCTGTACATCTCTACACTCAGCAGTTTCTCCCATGAGCTCTTGCCCCTCTTCCACCCAACTCAGTCAATGGGAGCAGTGTTTGAATATCCTAGATCCCCACTCTTCTGAGCTGTCCCAGCTGCCTCCAGGAGGATCCCAATGGAACTGAGCATCTGTGTCTGAAGAGCAACCCCTAACTGTCCCCAGTCCCTATGTTTAGAGCGGTCCAGTATTGAGGCTGTGGCCTCAACTTCCACTGCCCAGTAGTGAGACCTTCAACGTATCACCTTAACCATCTGCAGCTCTACTTAGCTCAGTTGCAAAACCATGAAACCACTTTTTATAGACACAAAGTTAAAAGGTACCGGGGGGGGGGGCTGTTACCTTGCTAACTCTTCTCAGCTTGACAGGAGCAGCACACGATCTTTACGAATGGCTTTGCTCCCTACAGCCATTGACTTTCTGGAGAAGATCCTGACCTTTAACCCCATGGACCGCTTAACAGCTGAGATGGGGTTGCAGCACCCCTACATGAGCCCTTATTCATGTCCTGAGGATGAGCCCACCTCACAACACCCCTTCCGCATTGAAGACGAGATCGATGACATCGTTTTGATGGCTGCCAGTCAGAGCCAGCTCTCCAACTGGGACAGGTGCGTGTCCAAAGCTGCTGTCCAGATAGGCATGCCCTATGCTCTCACATCCCCTTTGCCTCTGATCCTCTGTGACGGCCGTTCCCCAGATTGTATATTGTGTTGGGCACTTTCCCCAGTTAGTTCCTGCCTTTCTCTTGTGCCCATCCATTCCCAATGGGCCAGCTTCGTACTGTCCATGTGAGTCAGGGACTTCCACTCTGCAGAACAAAGCCCCCAGCTTTCCTTGATACCCTAAGACCACTAAACACAAGGCTCAGTGCACACAGGGGAAGTGTTGGGGAGTGTCTACTGTAGTATTTCCTGAACAACAAACAGGCTGGAGTTTTTCCTCCTGGAATATGCTAAGCAACCACTCTGCCACTGAACTACATCATCAGTTAAGATTTTGCCCTTGGAAGGCCAAATATGACAATGCAAAGCAAGAAAGCAGTACAGAGTTCACTGGCACAAAACAGTTCTCACTTTGCACATGACTCACCTCCTGTAAGTGCCCTTGAAGCAGGCTGTGTCATTGTCGTCCATGAGAAAGTCACAGCTTAGAGAGGTTAAAGCACTGGCACCATGTTACACAGCAAACCCATGTAGGGCCGTCCCTAAACTGTACCTGTGTCACACATCACTAAGAGCTTTGATGCTCAGCTTCACTTGGCTTTGGGATCCTTGACAGGGGCCCGGTATTGAAGAGTAGATTTTTTAAACCATTCCTACAGGAGTAGTACGATTTCTTAGTTCCTTTCCTGTCCTGTCTTTCACAGATCAGGCACCGGGGCACCACCATCTGATGATGTATCCGTACTGCTCAGTTTAGAAAAGGCAGTGGAGGGGGTGCTTAGCGACATCAACTCCAAGGGGGCCTACCCGGGAGCCTCGCTGCCATGGGAATGTGACAGCTGGTTATATAAGTGGCAGATAGGCAATTTCTCTTTTTCAGTCATTTGACAGATGATAAGTTTCAAATTGAGGGGGTGCAAAGAGGGGGTAGGGCACTGTTTTTTGGGGCAGAGTTTGGTAGCTTCTTGTCAGCAAATAGCAATTTATTGACTCTTCTGCCAGCCTCACGCTGGGGCTGCTCTAGACTGTGGTTCTTAGACTTGTGCACCCCCCCTTCCATGTCACAGAATTCAGGGCACACAATGATGGATTGGCACCAGGGAAGACTGTAGCAGAATCACTAAGGTCACAGATTGTCAATTCAGGGTAGTACCAAGCCCGACACTCTTGCTGCTGGTCTTCCTCATCACACCTGCACAGGGGACCAGGAAGATAAAGTCCATGACACTGCTGCAGTGGCCTTCACCTTTGTGGTGTGCTAATTTTCTCACCTTTAAGGCTGTGGCAATAACACTAAGTCCCCTCAGGATTGCTGCAAAGGCAATAGAGAATGTAGGGTCAGCAGTTGGGGTGTAGTGTATGAATGCTGTTGCTTCCCAGCTCTTCTTCCTAGGAACCCCCACAATTTCAAGGCCATTCAGGGAAAGGGCAATGCTGTACTCTGAAAGCCATGCCTACATTAATGGTATCCTTGGGAGGTGGAAAACACAAGCCATAGCCAGAATACCCCATAGTCTCCAGCCACACCAGAGTACCCCATAGTCTGTGGGCTGCAGCTGCCTGGCCTTGTCTGGTCTAATTGTCCTATGCAAGCACCAGGCCACTGCTCAGGGAGTAGCTGGCCAGGAGCTGCCGCCTTGTCCGTGTTCCCCACTGGAGCACCTGGCAGAAGAAAGGGTTTCAGCCAGAGCTGACAGCCAGCCGCCTGCTGCCCATCTGCCCTTCGTTTGCTCTTGGCTATCTGATTCCACTGTCCTTGGCTACAGGGCAGTCATAGGAGGGCAGAATTCCAAGGATCTTTGGCCTCCCCTGATGGTGTCTGTGATCTTTCTGCAAGTCCCATCTGCTCTGCTTGGATGTGAGGTGCTACAGGGCACCTGTCCAGATACATCATGGCAGCGGTTATCAGCCCTGGCTACATCTTAGAATTTGTGGGGCAAGTCTCACAGACAAGCTCCGGTAGGGCCATCTAGACCTATTGAACCAGAGCATCAGTAGTGGGCAGCAAGGGATACCTGGTACTTATTTTTAATCCTCCCATGTGATTCAAACCTGAGCCAGGGTCAGGAAGCACTCATTAGTGCTTGCCCCTCAAAATGTGGTCCAAGGATCAGCAGTAGCAACAGGCAGACTGCTAGAACCCCAGGTCCCAAGCAGAGGCAGGCAATTTGACTCCCCATCCCTCTTGGGTGGTACCATCACATCTCCATTTGCACTCTTGCAGATATCCTGTGAGCCTGTCATCAGATCTGGAGTGGAGGCCTGACCGGTGCCAGGATGCTAGCGAGGTGCAACGTGACCCACGTGCTGGCTCTGCACCGCTGGCCGAGGATGTTCAGGTGGACTCTGGGAAGGACTCTCAAAGCAGCTCCGAGCGCTTCCTGGAACAGTCACACTCATCGATGGAGCGTGCCTTCGAGGCCGACTATGGGCGCTCCTGCGACTACAAGGTGGGGTCCCCATCCTACCTAGATAAGCTGCTGTGGCGCGACAACAAGCCCCACCACTACTCAGAACCCAAGCTCATCCTGGACCTGTCACACTGGAAGCAGGCAGCCAGCACGCCCCCCACAGCTGCGGTAGCAGCAGACCCGATGTCATGTGAGGACGAGCCAGCCAGCCTCTTCCTAGAGATCGCTCAGTGGGTCAAGAGCACACAAAGTGGCCCTGACCATGCCAGTCCAACCCCTGATGCGCCAGAGCACCGCCTCTCTGCCTCGCCCCCAGGACACCCGACACCCGTCGATGGGGGTGCCAGTCCCCAGTTTGACTTAGATGTTTTCATCTCACGTGCTCTAAAGCTCTGCACCAAACCTGAGGACCTGCCAGAAAACAAACTGGGTGACCTCAACGGTGCATGCATCTCTGAGCACCCTGGTGACCTCGTCCAGACAGAGGCCTTCTCCAAAGAAAGGTGGTGAGCACAGAAGGGGTACACAGGAGAACTTCCAGAGCAAGATGCCACCCAGAAAGCTGGACCACTTCCTTACTCCCCTAGCACTTCCTTCAGCCCATCTCTGCTGCTTTGGGGTTAGCAGAACACCCGAGGATCCGGGGAGCGAGAGGAATGTCCATTTCTTAAACTGCCTTAATAACTAGCCTTTAACCTCTGGGAGCGGGATTGAATGGAGCCTGCCTGGGAGCTATCACTTTCCCACCAAAGGGAGGCCTGTGTTTTATAAGTGACAGTATGCAGGGAAGAAAGGGATCTCCAATAGCAGTCTACAGCCCTACCAGGGTTGAGGGGGCAGAAGCAGCTTGCAGACATAGTTTCCAAGACATGTGACCCACCTAGTCTCAAATGGCCATCTGGGCCCAGAGAAGCCGTGTCTGACTTAGGACCACAGGCAGAGGGAATGCCAGGGGACAT